GGGTACGCAGTGAAATGGATCCTCTCCTTTTCCCTTTCTGTCCTTTGTCCAGAGCTCTTTTAGTTCGGAGGAGCTGGTGCCCAGGAGCTGTATATGGATGTGGCCATTTTGGGGTGGATGGAAGCATGGGTCTCCCACAGGGCTGGGGATGTGGAGCCCTGCATTGTGCTTCCAGCTGCCTTGCCTGTTGCTCCCCCAGCAGGGCTGTAGGTGAGGGAGGTGACTGTGGACTCAGCAGGAATCTGAGGCTGTGCAGCAGCTGAAGGCTTTGTGGTCGAGGCCGCATTCCCAAGCGATGTCGTTAGGCGAGGAGACCATGGTTTTCGGATTGTTTCAAGATGTAAGCAGCCTGGCCTGTCCAGCAGGGCAGGAGATGTGCTGCCTGGTCTCCTCAGCTTGCACAGTTGCTCTGCAGCACCCAGATGGTGTTGGGCTGCTGGAGTGCCCCCAGGTGAGCCTATGGAGCTGGCACTGAGGCATTGAAGCAGTGAATTTTAGTTAGCACTTCTAGCTCTGGAGAATAGTCCCAAAGACATTCCCAGTCCATGCTGAGTCCGCTGCCACATCACTGCCTTAATGCTGTGGCAGCCTTTGAGGGGGTTGGCTACCATAGGGCTGGGTGTCCTTTACCAGAGTTCTTTGCTTCCTGGCAATCCCACAGGATGGAAAACTTACTCTGCAAGAGCTTAGACAGCAGTGACTGACTTCACAGAGTTGCTCAGAAGTCTGTCCTGGATATGGCTTTGTTGATTTTATTTGTCACCCTGAAATGCTCTGCACATGCTCAGGCTGGAGTCCAGCAATGGTCCTGGGAACATCCCAAGACAAAAAAGTGAATTGAGATACACTTGTTAGAAGCTAGGACTGGTAATGCAGGTATGTTAGTGCCACTGTTTTTCCTGGGAAGCTGCTATTGCCTTCCTAAAAAAATGAAATTAGTTTTAAGCAGAGGGTACTGCTGCCTGGAGGATGCTGTGTCCTGCACTCAGATCTTTGCCTGAAGGATGATCTCAGAGCCAGGATGGGATCTGAGCCTGCTCTTCTCTCCATCCTTGTGCATCCTACTAGTCTGTGTCCCCTCCCTGCAGATGATTTGCCTTGTGGTGTGTGGGAATGATACCCTGAGGACCTGTAGGTACCAATTCAACCTCCCTACACAATTCACTTAACCTTTATCGCCTCAACAGGAGGGTTTTGCATTTCAATTAAGTATCCTTTGGGTAGCACACTACCGGGTGTTTTCAAGTGTGCTGCATTTCAAACATGTTTATCTAATCTGGCTGAAGATTTCCTGAAAAGCTTTCTGTAGCCACAGTTGAGACTGTTTTAGTCCAGAAACATGTGTGGAGGGTTTCTTTTCCTCCCAGCCAGGGGTGGCTTGTGTCACATGCATCTGCAGAGGCCGGATGTTTGCCAGCACACACATTTGGGACTGCTCCATGCTGCCTTGGCTTTGCAGGACCATGGCTGGCCCAGCTGTGTTGCTGGGGGATTGCTCTGCACTGGCTCTGTCTTGCTAAGGCTGATGTGGCATTGCTGGATAGTTTTTGAGATGACTCCCACTAAGGGAATCGTTTTGCTTTGTTCAGCAGCTCCCAGCAATGTGTCCCAGCCCAGATGAGCTCATGAAACCACAGCAGAAGTTTTTGGGAAGGTGTCCAGTGTGAGCTGGGGTTGCCTTTGCTCTCTCCTCTGAGGTGGCCTCCAGTGGCTGAGCCACACGTGGCCATGGCTGTGCCGCACAGGAGAGCTGGGAGGTCCTGCAGCTGCTGAGTGGAACAAAGAAAGTAATTTTCTTCTTTATTCAGCACCGGGGGAGATTGTTGGCTTTGTTCAGGTTTTACACAAACTCCAGCATAATGGTATCCCACAGAGCAGCCCTCTCCTTAGACAGCTTCCCTGAGCCTCTGTCCCAAAAGCCCAGGAGGTGGAGGGGATGCATGGACCCTGCTGGCTGCAGCCTTTTCCGGGGCCAGGGCTGTGCAGCAGTTCCCATCTCCAAACACTGGGCCCTGGTGCTCTGGATTGAAGTACTGTGAAAAGCTGTGTCCACCTCTGGGCTTCTGATGTCTTGCACCCCAAAACTCAAGGAGGATTCCTCTGGGCCACATCTAGCTGCTCCTGTCTTTCATTGCAGCCCAAATGTGATATATGGTTGGGACAATGCTTTCCAGCATGTGTAGCCAGTTCACCAATGGCATCTTGGATGCTACTGTCAAAACAAAACACAAGTTTGTGGCTCTTGCTGCACTTTAACGTTTATTTATCCCAGTTTAACATTTATTTATCCCACACACCTGTGCTCATGAGGTGTTCATCACAGGCATCTTGCTTGAGCTGAAAAGCTTGTGTCCATTTCCCCAGCATGGAAAACAACTTGAACAATTCCTCCTGTTTCACCAGGGAGCTGGATCCCAGTGTTTCCTGACACCTGGTAAAATCCCTGCTTCCCGTGTGAGACTTGTGCCAAGCCACCATCATGTCCTCTGTCCACAGAGCCGTGTCCCCCTCCCTGGACATGGGCATGGTGAAGCAGCAGGATGGTTGTGATGAGGCAGCTGAAGCTCTCAGGTGATCAGTGCTGAGTAAAGTGCACTTGTGCTCTCAGTGATGGGCTGAAAGCAGCTCTCTTACATTGGTAATGCCAATGATTTAATGCTAGAAGTGCGTGTAATTTAAAATATAACATCTTAACACCCTAATGGTCTGCACCTTCAGGGAGAGGTGTCTCATCACAAACTCCAGCATTAGCATGATCAGTAGGCTGGCACTGCAGGAGCAGAACAAACCCATCTCCTGTATGACTTTGTGTATCCTGCCACGTCGCACGTGCTTTATGCCATACAGCTGTGGTTTGATGGGCGTGTGCCTGGTGTCCTGAGGCACGTCTGGGGAACACAGCAGACCTGGGTCCTGTAGGTTCAAACCTGAGTGGATCTGACTGCTCTGTTCCCCTTTCCTCCTTCCCGTTTGACCCAGCAGCCTGCTCTGGCGTGAGCTCAGCTCCTGATGTTCTGGAGCTTTTAGGCAGTGGAGCACATGGCTGTGTTTGAGTGAGCTGGGGTGGTTGCTGCCTTGCTGAGTGGGGACAGATCTGATGTGACACATGTTCCTGCACGTTGTATCACCTTGAGGCGTGTGTTCATCTCGGGTGTGTGAGACAGCTGTCACAGACTGATGGATAGTTCCTGCCTTTAGGGGAGGTGCATGGCAGCTGCCCATGGAGACTTCACTGGATATGGTGACCCTTGGAGCACAGCATGTTGATGGCACTTGGCTCAGTATGAGACCCAGGGAAACGGGACCATCAACAGGTTCCAGAGAAGTGCGTGGAGCTGGCTGTTCAGCTGCAGAAGTCAGAACAGCCAAATTCAGAGTTCACAGCTCTGGGATCAGAGAAAATTCAGTTGGGAATTCAGTGACAGAAGCGTCACTGCAAAATCCAGCCCCTGCTCCTGGCTGATGTGTTTGGGACATGTATGAAGCCCTGTTTGAGTGCCTGTGTCAGTGCCTTGCTGCTGCTGTGAGTGGGGAGCACAGACCAGCACTGCAGGAAATGTGTGGCTGACACTGGGTGCCCATGAGCAGCATTGCCTTGGCCCCTGTGCTGTGTAGCAGGCTCCAAAGGCTTTCCAGCATGGGAAGGGCTCTTGTGGCTTCCTGGAATTTGATGGTCTTCAAAAGGTCTCTTTTGGGAAAGGATTCCTTATCCCTAGCTCTGTCTGACTGAGATGTGTTGTCAAATCGTATCCCTTCACCAGGCTTTTATACAAATGCCGGGTAGGAGGATGTGGCTGAGTGTCCAAAGAGGAGCTGCCTCTCATCTGGACTTTGATACTGCTCATGTAACTTATCCAGGCAACCACTTTCTGAGGCTGTTCCTCTTGCAGGGGTCGGAGCACACTGTTTTGACCATGCTCTTGTTCGTCTCCATTCTAAGAAGCTCGAAATCTGCCTGGCTTGGCCCCTTTCCCTGCAGAGCATGGTGCTGCTAACAGGGTCCAAGAGCCATCCTCATGTGCTGAATTGCCTTTTGTTTGCTTCCCTTGCTTTTCCAGCTGGTAACCAGAGCAGAGCGCCTGCAGGCTGGCTGTGGGCAGGCAGCAGCCAGATTTGGGAATGTGTCAGAGGTCCCTCAGCAGCCATGCCAGGCACTGCCCAGGGAAGCACTCTGCCCGAGCTCTTGGATGGGCATTAGTGTGTCAAGGAGGGCTCTTTGGGGTTTCCATCTCTGTGGAGAGATGCCTCCAGCCCCTCGGGCCACTACCAGACCCCGAGGACAGCTATTGCAATTTATTGTTTCCGCTTCTACTTGCGAGTGGGCTGAGTCACCAGCGCAAGTTTGTGGTGTCCCTGTTGCATCCTCTTGTGCTGTGTTCCAGCAGCTGCTGTGTTTATTCCCATAGATAATCCTTGTTCCACACCAGTGTTTCTCTGGGTAATTGCTGGCAATGTGGAGGTGAGTCAGAGACAGTTCTGAGGAGAGGGACTTTGAGGAAAACCTAGAAACAATCTGTGAGTGTTTCTGGTCAGGGACAATCTTGATGCAAGGCTGGAGCTTAGGATGCATCCCAAAAAACAGGACAAGAAGCACTCCAAGAAACACTGCAATTGCCCAGGAAGCTGCTTGCTCTCCAGGGCTTTGTGACTGCCTTCCTGGCTCACACATTGCAAGACACCTTTCTGTTCAGGCTGGAAGTGTGACTCTGTAGTGGGTCATGGGAGCTCTCTTAATGCCCCTGTCCGCAGGGAGCAGAGGGCCCTCCTTGGCTGTGGCAAGCTCAGGCAGCCCTGTTCCAGTGATTGCTTAAAGCAGCTGTGCTGGCATCCAGGCACAGGTCTGTTAAAACTCTGAATGAGTTTTGACAGATGTGCTTTGAGCTGTGTTTCTCCTAACATGGCTCTGACTGTCTGGAGACCCTTGAGAATGACACATGCTTACCTGAGCCATTCTTCTGCTTCCCTTGCTCTAAACATGCCCTCCCTTTTCTGTCTTGCAGCCGTGGGGACCCAGGCAAGCATTCTTTTCACAAAAGAGCCGTACTCCCAGGATGCCCTGCACGGCCGCAGCGCCATCCTCCGCTGCGAGGTGAAGGAGCCGGCGGACGTGGAGTTCCAGTGGCTGCAGAACGGCCTTCCCGTTCAGGACACGGAGCAGCGCTTCAAGGAAGGCAGCAACCTCCAGTTTGCTGCCGTGGATCGGCACCGGGATGCCGGGGTCTTCCAGTGCCTGGCGAGGAACGTGCTCACTGGGGAGGAGGCACGCACGGCCAACGCGTCCTTCAACATCAAGTGTGAGTGTGGGGCGAAGGCGCCCGGGGACACACCACAGCCCGGGGCTGCCCTCGGTGCACGGGGAAAAGCATTCTCTTTAGGCTGGAAATAGTTTTTCCAGGCTGTCTGCTAATGCTTGTGTGGGTCAGACAGGGATTGGATGGTTTGGGCTGCTCAAGTAGGATTGCTCTCCAGCTGCCATGTCCATCCTGCCCTGTAGTCCTCTTGTGTCTTCTGGTGTCCCTGAGGCTGTCAGAGATGCTTTCTACTGCTGCTTTTCCTCTTTGTTCATATGAAACTGGGACATTGCTGCAGCAAGTGTGTCCTGGGCACTGCAGGTCCTTTCAGAACTCATCTTAACCCTCAAAGAACAGCTACGTAGGGCAAAGTGGGATCTCTGCAGTGTGGGCGTCTCTTTACTCCACACTGGTTTGAGGGCATTTGTATCTCTAAGCATGCTTGTACCCTTGCTGCCTCCTGGTTATCAGTGAGTCACCAATAACCACCACCTGGGCTCTGTAGGTTTGGAGAGCCAGCTGTGTTGGTATTCTTTGATCCCACAGGGATTGAGACAGGCAGTGTGGTTCTGAAGCAGCCGGCCAGCGTAGCTGAGATCCAGCCCTCCTCCACAGTGGTGCTGCGGTGTCACATCGATGGCCACCCACGGTAAGGGTTGCCTCCTGAGGAGTGGACCCTGCCAGGGGCCCCTGCACCTTGGCTGTGTGGTCTCTTTCTCTCTCTCTCTCTCTCTCTCTCTATCCCCCTCCCTCTTCCCCGCCACCTTTTTCTTTCTGCTCCTCCCCCACCTCCCCTCCTCTCTCCCGCAAGAATTCAGTAGAGTCAGGGAAGGCGAAAGGCAGGATTGAGCCTGTGCTGAGCGCCGTGGGAGAAGGCAAACGGCTTCCCCAGAGCCGCGTAGCGAGGAGCACAGTAAGGATGGGCTGTCACAGTCCAGTTGCTGAGCTGCTTGGTGTGCTGCAGTCACTCTCCGTCGCTTCCCAGTCGTGTCCCGTCCACTTCGGCTGCATGTCTCATGGCTTCGTGTCTGTGTCGGGGCCGGCAGCGGGGACGGAGAGCCAGGGAAATGGGCCATCTCTGGGCTGTCTCCTCCGCACACCCGCTCTCGGGGCAGCCCTGACGGTGCCGTGCCCCCGGTCACCCGCTCGCCCCTGTCTTGCAGCCCCACGTGGCAGTGGTTTCGGGATGGCAGCCCCCTCCCGGACAGCCACGGCACCTACTCTGTCAGCAACAAGGAGCGCACGCTGACCCTGCAGAGCGCCAGCCCCGATGACGACGGGCTCTACTACTGCTGCGCCCGCAGCGCCGTCGGCTCCGTCTGCAGCCACAACAACTTCACGCTCAATGTCATCGGTGAGTTGTGTCCCAGCTGTCACACTGCCCTGCTCACAGCCTCCCCTCTGCTGCAGGGGAACCTCGGGCTTGTGCGGCTTTCCTCTGTGCAAAGCCTCTGGGCAGAGACAGAGCCAAGGAATCCTGGCCAGCCTGGAGCCCAGCCCTGTCTGTGTGTGTTAATTTGAGCAGATTTATGCTGTCTTCTTTTGTAATGGAGCACCCTGGAGGCTGTAGGTGCTTCTGGTTTTGCTAATGTCATTGCCATGTGAGTAGATGCCCTGTTGGCCTTTGGAGGCAAGACCTAAGGAGGACAGGAATTGTTGACATTAGAGGAGTATTTGGAACTGGACAGGGGAATTTTGCTGTCCAATGTCAGCTTTGATCTGTTCACTAGGAGCCAGGGTGCTCAGGGCCTTGCTGGAAACAGGAGGGGTTTTCCCCTTCTGAGCAGCTCCCACATGCAGTCCTGGGCTCTGAGTCCCTAACTCCAACTGTGCTGGCACATTTTCCTCCTTTGGGCTTGCAGGGCACACCCAGCTCTTCTTTGAGCTTTTCCCAGAGCACTGGTGTGGGGACACCACAGGCCCCTCTGTCCCTCTCACCCTCCTGTGGTCTCTGCCATTGCAGACGAGAGCTTTCCTCAGGCAGTGATCGTCCCGCGGGACCTCATCGTGACCAAGAACGAAGAGGCCATGTTTGACTGCCAGTTTGCAGCTGTGCCCCCTCCCACGCAGGAATGGCTCTTTGAAGACAACCCTGTCACCAACAGATCCAAGTAATAGGGACCCCAGTGATGTGGGCAGGGCTGGGAGGAGAGGGGCACTGTGTTCCAGAAGAGAGAGGTCAAAGCCTGTCTGTACATGAGTGCAAGCATGCAGCATCAGAGTGGTGATGGGGATTGGTTTCTCAGCTTGGCTGGCTTGGGTTTAGCAGGGACCTCGTGCATGGCATTTACCTGAACAGGACTCAGGGAGCAGTTTGTCCTCGCACAAATCTGTGGGGCTGTCATTTCTAGATGCCTGTGCATGATAACCCCACATTTAGGGATGTCTCTCAGCCCTAGATGTGGTGATTCTATGGAGCCAGGGAAGCCCAAGCTCCAGACACCCACTTGGGGCAGTTGACAGTCAGGGATGTGTCCCAGTACTAGATGCAACACACGGTGATCCCCAGACTTGGGAACACCTCCCAGCTCCCAGCATCTGCACAGCCCATGGCTCTCTTGCACTTCTATATCCAAGTGCATGGTGATCCCCAGAGCCAGGAGTGTTTCTAAGCCCCAGGCAGCCTAAGCATGGGCAGTCTGCAGGGCAGGGACAGCGATCCCGGAGCCGGGATGTGTCTCTTCCAGACTCTGGAAAGCGAGCAGTGCCATCTGGGCAGCCCCCGGGCGCCACCTTGTGTCCCCTGCCCCTGGCTCTGTGTGCTCCCACAACTGGCTCCTGCTTGGTGATGCATTTTTTGGTGGGAGCCAGCTCTTCAAGAAAAAAAACTTCTACGAGCTCATTTCCTCCATGAAGAATGTGTCCCAACCATCTCCTTGTTTACATGTGGTGGGAAGCTTTGGCGTGGCATCCTCCTGGTTTCAGGGGCTCATGCATGACATCTCAGCGCTGTAGCTCTGGCCATGTCCTGCAGAGATGCCCACTGAGCCCTTCCTCTCCCCACGTGCCCAGGACCACCGTGTTTGCCAATGGCTCCCTGCTGATCACCCAGGTGAGGGCTCGCAGCACCGGTGTCTATAAGTGCGTTGGCCATGGGCAGAGGGGGAAAACTCTTGTGCTGAAGGCAACTCTGCGGCTGGCAGGTGAGGTCCTGGGGCTGGTGACAGGGTGGGCAGTGGGTCCCAGAGCTCCAGTGCCACTCTGGAGCTTTGTGACAAATAGCAGCGGGTCAGTACGTGCAATGGTTCATCCTTGCTGTCTGGATGAGGGGAGAAAACAGTTTGTGTGCTCTCACCTTTAAGTGGTGCCTCCCCTGTGAATGATGGTGTTGGTGGGTTGGCTGCATGTTCTTGCCCTCTTTGAGCCCTGTGGTCTCTTGTTCCTCTCAGAGATCGAAGACATGGCACCCTTCTCCCCGAAGGTGTTGACAGCAAACCAGGGGCATCGCGTGTCCTGCACTGCCCCACAAGGCATACCCACACCCCAGGTCTGGTGGGAGAGAAACCAGGAACGAGTTCCCACTGCTGGCAGGGTGTACCAAGAGGGAGAGCAGCTCATTTTCGCCAGTATCACTGAGATGGATGCAGGGATCTACACGTGCCATGCTGCCAACAAGGCTGGAGAGAAGAAACAGGAGCTGAGCATCACTGTGGCTAGTAGGAAACTTTCTGAATAGGGTGGGAGCAGAAGAGGGGCTGGACAGGGGGTTAGGGTGAGCTGGGCAGCGTGGCTCATTACCTCACTGGTACAGAGAGGCACCTCTCATGGCTGAGCTGCGGGGCCCCATGGCTGGTTGCACAGTGCCTGTGTGTTCTGCACTGCTGCTGGCCAGAGGGGTAGTGAGTGTCTCTGTGTAACCCCTTGCCTTCGTGCCCAGCGGTACCCAAATGGGTGGAGATGCCCAAGGACAGCCAGCTGGAGGAGAGCAAGCCAGGATACCTGCACTGCCTCAGCAAGGCCTCCCTGAAACCCACCGTCACCTGGTACCGCAACGGCGTCTCCATTTCTGAGGTGAGGCCACAAGGCAAGCCCCTGCCCCTCATGGGCACTCCTGCTGGGCACCTGCTCTGCTGCTGCTGTTTCTCACCTTGTTCCTAGGCCCAGCTTCCCTGTCACCCGCACTTTGGCCCTATTCCTGGCACTAGCTCCATCCTACTGATGTGTGGGTGCGCAGTTGGCTGTCTCTTGCCACTTGGCTGGCAGTCAGCCCTGTGCTTTTGGGGCAGGGGTAAGAAAAAGGTCCCGGCAGCTTGTCTCCGTGTGGGTCTCAGCAGGGATGTGTTTATCTGAAGCATGGTGTGGCATGCGGACTGTCAGCAGTGCCACAAGCGAGGGCTGATCCTAGGGCTGGGGACAGCGTCATTTCTGCCCCGCTCCTTCCCCCGCTCTGGGCAGGACTCGCGCTTTGAGATCTCGGAGAACGGCACGCTGCGCATCAACAACGTGGAGGTGTACGACGGGACCATGTACAAGTGTGTGAGCAGCACCCCGGCGGGCAGCATCGAGGGATACGCGCGGGTGCACGTGCTGGGTATGCTCACGTCCCTCCCTGGTGGCTGCAGGTGTGATAGCTCCAGCTCCGGGGTGTCCTGTGGTGGGGAGGGAGCCTAAACATCTCCTCTGTCTGTTGCAGAGAAGCTGAAGTTCACCCCTCCACCTCAGCCCCTGCAGTGCATGGAGTTTGATAAGGAGGTTACAGTGTCCTGCTCAGCCACGGGTCGGGAAAAACCCACCATCCAGTGGACTAAGACAGGTCAGGGGGATTTGGTTGTGGTGTGCCAGCTTCTGACCCGAGGCCACGGGAATGTTGCCCCACCTCCGGTGTGGGTGAAGCAGCAGCGTGGCCCCGTGCGTCCTGCATGACTGCTGCATCCGTCCTCTCGTGTCCTGCAGATGGGAGCAGCCTGCCGTCCCACGTCAGCCACAACGCTGGCATCCTGTCCTTCCACAAGGTGAGCAGGAGCGACTCAGGGAACTACACGTGCATCGCCTCCAACAGGCCGCAGGGCGAGATCCGTGCCACCGTGCAGCTCGTGGTAGCAGGTGAGGGCTCTGTGGCAGGCAGGGGCGTTTCCTGCTGTGCTGGCTTGGCCTGGGTGGCAGAGAAAGCAGTGTCTGGCCTGATCCCGAGCTGTGTCCCACGGCACTCGAGTGTCTGGTTTTTTGGCAGCTCTTTGAGTGCAGCCTGGGAGGGCACGTGCCACTGTGCCACCGTGCTGGCCGCGCTCCCTTGTGGGAGCTTAGCACCATTCCCAGGAGCTGACAGCGTTCGTGTTGGCCTCTCTGCCTTCAGTTTATGTCACCTTCAAGCTGGAGCCAGAGCACACGACGGTGTACCCGGGCCACACAGCCATGTTCCAGTGCCAGGCAGAGGGGGACCCCGTACCGCACATCCAGTGGAAAGGGAAGGACAAGATTTTGGATCCTGGCAAACTCCTGCCCAGGTACACAGCCTCCATTCCAAACTGACACGTGGCGCAGCAGGACATTCCCAAGTATCCCTCATCCCTGCCCAGTATGAGGGTGCCAGTGGTGCAATCCTGGGTTCGTAGCTTAGTGGGCACGTAATTGACTCCACGTGCCAGGACTTGGACTCTCCTGGCCCCAGGGTTTCCCTTTCTGCCACAGCCTGCCAGGCTGTGATTGAGCTGCAATCATCTGTTCTTAGGTGTTGCACAGCCTGATGGAAGCTGATGGCACTGGGGACGTGGGGCTGAGGCATTCTGGGGAGGTGGGGCTGCAGGTGCCCCAAGCCTGCCTCTGCCCTTGGGTGTTTGCAAAGAGCTCTGTGTGTGTGGTTGGCAGGATTCAGATCATGCCCAATGGCTCCTTGGTGATTTACGACGTCACCTCCGAGGACTCTGGAAAATACACCTGCATCGCTGGCAACAGCTGCAACATCAAGCACCGGGAGGCATTCCTGTATGTTGTAGGTAAGGAAGGTGCCCAGTGTTGGGACATGACCTCCTGGAATCCCTGGCAGTTCTAGGCCCTGCTTCTGGCTCTGGTTGTGCCTGCCAAGTAGTCACAGCAGCATCCCCGCTGGAATGCAGCAGAGTGTGCTGTGGGATGTGCCCAGTGTGCTGTGGCTGGGTGAGGAGGTGGTCACCAGCGGGTAGGGGGCTGGGGGCTTTTCACGTCCCTCCAGCAAATTCCGAGCAGGATTTGGGAAATCCCTCCACACCCCCACGTGTTGGATGCTCTCTGCCTCACAGACAAGCCAGCAGCAGAAGAAGATGAGGGACCTGCCAGCCACACGCCCTACAAGATGATCCAGACCATTGGGCTCTCAGTGGGGGCAGCTGTTGCCTACATTATTATCGTGCTGGGGCTGATGTTCTACTGTAAGAAGAGGAGAAAAGCCAAGAGGCTGAAGAAGCACCCAGAGGGCGAGGAGCCTGAAATGGAGTGTCTGAACGGTGAGGCCGGTACGCCTGAGGGTGAGGGCTTCGCTGCTGGCTCCCTGTCCCTGTGCTGGAGAGGCTGAGGGGCAGGGAGCTCCCCGGGAATAGGACAACTCCTGACCCATGGTCTCTCGCTCTGGTTTTTGGCTGGTGGCAGAGACCTGCTGCCAGGTGAGAAATGGGCAAGGTACCGTGAAACCTGAATCCCAGCCTCACGTTGTGCCATCTCTGCCTGCTGAGTTATGTCTCACTCCTGCATCCCAGCACCTGCACGTGGGATCACATGTCCCAGGGGAGGGAAGGATCCCTGTAGCAATGTAATGAAATTGTAGTATTCTGCTGGCCTCTTCAAATGAGAGTTCAGCAGCTCCTGGTGCTGAAGGGAAGGTGTGTCACTGAACTCCCTCTCTTATCTCCAGTGAGGACTTGTAAGTGGTGGAGTGCAGTTGAGTTTGCTGTCCCTAATTCCCTGGATCTCCCCATACATGCAGGTGTTCCCCCTCCCAGTTCTCCAGCACACAGCTGTGCATCCTGATCACATGCAATTTGCTGTGAGGGCCTGGAAAAATATAACTGCTTGGTTTGTCTCCTGGTTTTCTCCTTGCATTGGCACTTTGAGCAGAGCCAAACCTCCAGAAGAGAAGTCTGGCTGTGGGAAACCTCCTAGGTGCAGGGATGCAGGAGCATCTCAGCAGATTTGTGCTCTGCATCTGGCACCACTGTGAGATCTTTCAGTGGAAAAGTCACAGGCAGCTCACCTGTGCTAGCAGGCTCTGGCCAGCATCCCCTTCCCAGGAAAGAATTTCTTTCAATTGTTTCTGAGATGGTCTCAGATTTTTATCTTGGCCAGTCTTTATTATTTTTCTTTTCTGCTAGAGTTTGCCTCTTCTTATTCCCTGCATTTGGAACCAGGTTAGCTGCCAGGTGCATCCTCATTCTTACAAGCAGACCCAGCTTCCCAGATGTCTACACTCCTCCTTTTTGGTACTTCCATAGCCTCTCTGGAGAAGTGGTTTGTGTTTGCTGTGAGCTCTAGTGGAGTTACTCCATTCACCACAGTCTTCAAAGATCTGTCTCTTTGCCTCTTTTTGATGTGGTCCCTCATTAGCTGGGTGACCCAAAGTATTTCAGCACCTGCCTAAGTACCTACAAGTACTCCCTGGCTGACCACCAGCTGACTTTTCCAGTGCCCTCAGGATCCAGACAGATTTAACCTCTCCATGGACTTGCAATGGATCTTTGCAATGGCTTTCTATGGATCAGTACACTCCTAACCACCCAGTTACTTTCCAAGGTCACGTCCTTGGTGTGCCACATCCTCTGTAAGGAGAGCTTGCTCTCAGTATCCATGGCTGACTGTGCTGCTTTTTTGTTGTTGTTGAATACAGACATAGCATTTGGGGAGGCTCATGGCTGGGAGGACTGATTTCTCTGCTAGTGTCTCTAGGGCAGCATGGCTGTGTCTGTTTCTCCAGGAGATGCTCCCGTGTCTGTTGCAGGCAGGTGGGCAAAGCAGGCAGCTTCCTTCCCTTTGGTTCTTCTCTGGACTGCTGGATACATAAAGGAATCCTCCTGTCCCTTTGTTACCAAGTGCCTTGTCCAGGCTCTGTGAAACATGGGAATGTGTGTTCTCAAAAGTGGCTCTTGTTGCTGCCTGCTGGTGCTGTCTCTCAGTGGCAGCACGCTCACTCTGCAGCCTTCTGGATTTTTTTGGCACAGTTGCAGTGGTCGTCTTGTGTTATCCTCTTGGCTTCAAGCTTGTGGTCTTGAGACACGATTAGTCATGTGAGCAGACAGCACAGGGTCAAACAGTCCTGCTGATAATGAGTGTAAAAGCAGGGAGAGTGTAAGGAGCATCCAGCTTTGATTTATAGGATAAGTGGTGGTTTTTTGCTTTTATTTTTGCAAATCTTACTCCACCATGTGAGAGCAGACAGGTGTCAGTAGCCATGGCTCTTAAGTCAGCATATCTCAGCGTTCACAGCTCCAGTCCTACCTGTGACAAAGCCATGGTCCCTGTCACGGTGGCCAGGCCTGCTCAGGATGTGCTGGTACCTGTCTTGCACACGTGCATTGTCAGCAGGCATGTACACACACACTGTGTGATGCAACAGCCTGTGATGGAAACTACAGGCAGTGGGACTCCTGTTGGATTTACCTCGTGCTGGGTTGTCTTGATATTGTTAAAAATTTCCTGTTGTGTGGCTGTTTGCCTAGTGCTTATTCCAGGAGCAGCTGAAATGGAGTAGTACAGAGTGATGCTGGAGGTGTGTGAGTGACCCTAGCTCAGGGTTGTTCCTTGCTTTAAATTCCAACTCCTGCTTTCATCTTATGGAAAATACCACTTCCTAGTAACCAGGTCTGATCCAACCAGTAAATACATTCAAAATCAAGGTTTGCCATCTATGCAGTCATTTCTCTACAAGCTGCCTGTAAAATGCAGGGTGTTCTGTTTTCTCAAGGCAATCACATTTTGTCCTGTTCTCTGGCTTGTGTTCGTGCTAGGGAGATTTCTAGTGAAGTCCCTGTGCAGAAAGCTTGCTGGGGCTGATTGCAAGGACACTGCTGCCTAGCACTGCTTTAACCCGGCCAGTTAAAATCCAGACTGGTCTGGTCTTACAGGTTCAGCGCTTCCAAGGACATTCCCAAGGCTTGCTGGGAAGTGAATAAGGAGCAGGGACATCAGACTGCAGCAGCTGGTGTCAGATAGACTTGAGTGTCTCTTGGGTATCAAGAGACTGTGGTTATAGTGAGCAGTGTCCATCTGCTCCACCTCTGCCTCGCCCATCCCATCTCCTGCTGCTGTCCTGCAGGGTTTTGTCAATGGTAGTTTGGATGTAGCCGCTGCTTGGGGATGACTGAGTGGGATGGACAAGGCCAGATGGGGCTGGCTGGCTCTGGGACCAAAGCCATTGCTCAGCATCTGATTTCAAGGGTGGCTGCTGGGCTGCCAGAGATGGGGCAGAAACTGAGGCCAGGCCACTGCTGCGTGGGGCTGGAGTGCTTGGAGTGTTGGAGCCCCAGCAGGGGCTGAGCCCCAGAATAGCTTTCACTGTGTGGCCTGGCAGGATGCTGAAGCTGTTTGTGCTTCCCTGGCAGGCGGTGCTTTGCTGCAGAATGGGCAGATGACAGCAGAGATTCAGGAAGAAGTGGCCTTGACCAGCCTGGGCAGCAGCTCTGGGGCCAGCAAGCGCCACAGCGCTACTGACAAGATGCACTTTCCACGTTCCAACCTGCAGACAATCACAACCCTGGGTATGCTGGGCCACCCTGGCCTTGTCCCCACTCCAGCAGGAAACCTGTGGCTGAAACCCCAGCATGTCCCAGCCAGAAAACAGGATGTGCTGGGCACAGAGGGCCCTGCAGCCCGTGGAATGTCAAGCAGACCTGCTGTCCTAATGCACGCCGCCTTCCCGTGTGCTTCTCTACACTTCCAGGCAGGGGGGAGTTTGGTGAAGTGTTCCTGGCCAAGGCCAAAGGCACAGAAGATGGTGAGGGTGAAGCTCTGGTGCTGGTGAAGAGCCTGCAGACGAGGGATGAGCAGCTGCAGCTAGACTTCCGACGGGAGGCAGAGATGTTTGGGAAGCTGAACCACGCCAATGTGGTGCGGCTGCTGGGGCTGTGCCGCGAGGCAGAGCCACACTACATGGTCCTGGAGTACGTGGACCTGGTAAGGGCCCTGCCAGCAGGAAAGAGGGACGTGACAGCAGTGGGAGTGGGGCGAGTGTGGCAACGGGCTGGCAGCACAGGGCAGCCAAGGTGTAAGGAGACCAGGCTGAGCTTACTGCTGTTCCCAGCCTCTGGAGGGCTCTCAAGGGGAATGGGAGTCTCCTGCAAGACCTGCAAGTGACTTTATCCTCTACAATCTCCTGATTTCTTTTCTGGTTTATGTCCTGGACTCAGTTATACAAGCTAAGTTGTGGGACTCCCTGCCACAGAATGGCTGTGAATGCTAAGGGCTGTGAGGAGTCTGGAGTTTGTAGGAGAGAAATAAATTTTGGGCATGAAAAACCTGGAGGTTTCAGGCCTGCTTGCCCTTATCTTAGCCAGTTGAGGCCCAGAAACAAGATCCTGGCTTGCCCAATAAGGCAGGGACCTGGAGGACAGGCAGGAGCCATGGATCAGGAGATGAGGATCTGTGGGCCTGCCACGTCGAGGCACTGCAGGGATCAGTGAGCCTGGTCCTATGTAGAGCTGCTGACTCTGAATCGCTGTCTATCTCCCAGGGGGACCTGAAGCAGTTTTTGAGAATCTCCAAGAGCAAAGATGAGTCTCTGAAGCCACAGCCACTCACTACCAAACATAAGGTGACCATGCAGCTTTGGAAGTGCTCTGGGGCTGGGGACCCTAAGGAGGGCAGCGAGTGCTGACAGCTCCCTGGGGTCAGGTGTCTCTCTGCACACAGGTGGCCCTGGGCATGGAGCACCTCTCCAACGGCAGGTTCGTGCACCGGGATTTGGCAGCCAGGAATTGCTTGGTCAGTGCCCAGAGGCAGGTCAAGGTCTCGTCCCTGAGCCTCAGCAAGGACGTGTACAACAGGTCAGGGATCCTGACAGGGGAATGGGAGGGGATGAAATGGCCCCAGTCTCACTGCCTGCCTGTCCTGCCCGCAGCGAGTACTACCATTTCCGCCAGGCCTGGATCCCACTGCGCTGGATGCCACCTGAGGCTGTGCTGGAAGATGAGTTCTCCACTAAGTCGGATGTGTGGTCCTTTGGGGTGCTCATGTGGGAGGTCTTCACGCATGGGGAGATGCCCTACACTCCACTGGCAGATGATGAGGTCCTAGCAGGTGCGTGGAGTACCTTGTGCTGTCCCTGGAACTGTAGCCTACTTGCTTTACGTGTGGAAAGGGGGCCGGATGGGCTGTATGACAGTGCTGGTCTGGCTGCATGGAGAACTGCTGCTCTCCTTGCATCCCCCAGAGAGGATCGCACCCCTTGCCAATGGCCCTTTGGACTTTTCTTTCATGCCAGGTCTCCAGTCAGGAAAGACGAAGCTCCCGCAGCCCGAGGGCTGCCCGTCGCGCCTGGCCAAGCTGATGCAGCGCTGCTGGGCCCCCAGCCCTAAGGACCGGCCCTCCTTCAGCGAGCTCGCCACCACCCTTGGGGACAGCCCAGCTGACAGCAAAGCCTGAGCACCCCAGCCCTTGCTGGTGAAGGATGTGGCGGGGTGGACAGGGGTCTGTATGTGCCTGGGGCGCCCCTGGCACTCCCACAGCCCCTTGCTGAGCCCGACCCCGATGCGCCAGCGAGCAGCTCAGCATCAGCAGCTGCTGGACTCAAAGCACAAGCCAGTGTACCCCAGCCCCACCCCCCTCCCCAGTGGGTCCCAAAGACAGCCCTTGCTGCCTCCTGCCCCCTGCCTGCTCAGCCCGGTGCCCTTAGGCTGCTGGTGTGGATGGAGCGCAGCTGCCCCTCCCACGGCGAGAGCTTGGGCGTCCCTGCTCACCGCATCCATCTCTGCCGGCCTGGCCCGGCTCTCTCTCCGTCCGTCTGTGCTAGGCATGCCTGCCTGCCCCTTCCCCATGGGGACAGGCCAGCCAACAGGAGCACAAAGTGCCTGGCATATGAAGGAGCTCACTACCTTTCCCAGTTTCCCTGTGCCTTTTTTTGTACTTATGACTCTGGGCAGAGCCCCCTGTCTCCCTCTTCCAGAGCGCTGACTCCTCCCTACCATAGTATTTCTGTTACTGGAATGCAGCCTAGAGTGGGTTAGTTTGTTTGCTTGAGTGGAGGGTACTGCAGCCAAGAAGGGTTGGGTTTTGTTGGGTTTTTATGTGCTGCTCTCAATAAAGAAGGCGCTTTTTTTTTTTTGGTTTTTTTTTTTGTCTTTGTAAAATACTGCTGTCACATAGCGGTTTCCTCCACATGGCTCCTGGGAAGGGTTTGGGGCTCATTCCTCAGGCATCTGTCTGCTGTGTTTAACCCCTTTGCCCCCTTCTCAGGTGAATCTGGGATGCTGTTCCCAGCCCTGTGTGCCTTGAGGGAGCACTTCGCCTCAGCACTCTCTCTCTGGGCAGTCATGAGCTGCTCTCCAAGAGGGACTTGTCCCTCTCAAGAGAAAATGTCCCTCAAGACTCCAAGCAAACAACCACTCATGGACATGTTGATTGGCTGACCCCACTTCAGGTATTGATTGGGTTTGTGCATCCACCTCTGTGGCCTGGGACAGCTGCACAGCCCACACTGGGTTGTGGGTTTGTGCATTTCAGCTGCTGCTTCTTGCAGGATGCTAGCAGGGCCAGGCCTGGATGGTACCCTGGGGGATATCCTGCTGTCTCATGTGGTCTGCAGCCCTCTCCTCTGTGCTAATGGCCCAGAACAACAGCAGGGTCCTGGCAGTCTCTTCTTGAGAGAGGAAAGGAGTACAGGTGTACAGGAAGCCCCAGTCCCCACGGCATGAAGTCCCCAGTCCCAAGCCAGCATGAGTTGTCCCTTGGAGCCACAGTGAGGCACTGGGACCAGCAGTTTCACTTGGCTGCACAGCCCTGGGTTGAGGGGTTGTACAGACAGATCTGAGCTTCTGCAGGAGGCCTGATGGGGCTGAACTGGAGGCAACGGGCATAAGCTGCGCAAGGGACATTCATTGTGGTTTTAGGGGAAATGCTTCCCCTCAAGGATAATAAAGGTATGAGTCCCAGAGAAGCTGTGGCATCTCCATCACCATCATCATCATCAGAGATACCCAATCCTGGAGCAGGGAAGTCCTGAACTACCCAGTGTAGTTGGCTGTGCTTTAATCAGGGATGGACCAGATATGGACCAGGGAAGTCCTGAACTACCCAGTGTAGTTGGCTGTGCTTTTATCAGGGATGGTCCAGAATCCTCTTCCCACCTCTGCTACCCGAAGAGGTTATGGAGGTGCTGGAGGGGGTAAAGTGCTCATTTCTTGGAATATGCTAGCTGGCCCTGAGCTCAGATTTGGTCCAGGCTTGGAAACTGGGTGCAAGAAAGTTTGCTGGCAGTGCTCTGCCAGTTATCAAAGGTGTTTGTCCCTTTTCCAACACTTGCAGGTGGGAGATATGGACTCTTCCCCCCTAGCCAAGGTCTCTTGGCAAGCTGAGCTGTGGCAGTGGCTGGGTGTTGGGGCCCCCTCTCGAGGAGGACAACCAGGGCTGGTTGGCTGGACCTGGTGCTCCCTGGCGTAGTAGGCTTGGCAGCAGGTGACTGTCACCCTGACCTCTGGCTGCCTCCATGACCAGAGGGCCTGGCCACATCGTGGGACTGGTGGCACTGTGCCTGCTGGGCAGACCTGTTGGGGACAGAGGGATCAGGATTTGCCTTTCCTTCTACCCCTTGCAGCCTCATGTCCCTCTTGTTGCTCCCCAGTCCCTCCCAGTGTGTGTGCAACCCTTCTGAAGCGCGTGCGTGTTGTGGCAGTGCTCTCCAGCTTGCAAGTGACCTGTCTTGTGCATTTGCTGTTGTTTGATGTCCTTTTGTTCCACTTCTCACATCCATTCCATTCCTGTGGACTTTCCTCTCTGCTGTCCTTCCTTCTAGGGAGGAACGCTGCACTCTGTGGGCTGATTCCTCTGCAGCCAAGCCACTTGTGGTGGCCTAGCCAAGCAGAATCTCAGCATTGCCATGGCTAGAGACCAGAGATGCCAAGGATTTTGGGGGTACCACCCTCATTCTGCCAGCTCTATGCATGCAGGCATTTCATGTGGTGGGAGGGTCTGGCACGGCTGCAGTGAGCTGGTTCTGTGAGCAGTGTCAGGACTGAGGGCTCTGCTTTGTCCCAACACATCCTGGAGGCTCCATGGCCTGTTTGCCATGCAGTCAAGACCTGGTGACTACAGGGAAACACCCAAATGGAAAGTCACCAAAGCTAGGACAAGCTCCAGACCCAAAGAGTACAGAATGATGGGGGTTGGGATTGGGTATTTTTGGGAGTGATGTCACAAAAAAATTCTGTATCATTGGGGAGGGGAGAGATGTTGGCCAAAGTAATTTGAAACAGCAAGCTGAGCAAATCCAGTCCCAGCTAAAGGTGGTGGAGCAGAGCAGGGAATCGGAGTCCCTGCAGGAGGTGGGATCCAATTCCCTCAGCCCAAACTGAAGGAACACCTTACAGAAGACCATGTGCAGGATCCAGGGCCAGAAAGAGCCACATGGCTCCATCAGAGCCCAGGTCCACCTAGAGAGCTGCCAGCTGTGACCAAAGTGGAACATTTGCTGAACGGTGTAAGAGACCAGCAAGCAGATGTTAGTCCCAATGAACAACTCCCTAAAGCATAAAGACATCCAAACCAGACAGTTCCATCAGGAAGTTCCTGATGTTTTCTCTTGCCCTGAAGTTACCCAAATTCCCCTTGCACCATTGCATCCTTTGAGCACCCTGGTCCATGAGTGCTGTGCAGCTGGAGGAAGGGCTGCTTGGTTTGCTCTGATTTCCTCTGCTGTCTCTCTGTCAGGCACTTGTGTGGAAACTAATGGGCCTTAATTGTCTTAAGCAGCCTCACCTGGGACTTCCCCACACTCCTGAGCTGCATTTAAGCTCAAAACTGTGCTTTCAGGTTTGTTTTAAGCAAGCTTGTAGGTGTTCCTCTTTTGGCCTTGCCTCTAGCCCTGCCTTCTAGGTATACGTGGTAGCCTTATTATCCAGTCAGGATTTTGGCTCTAGCTCACAACCAAGTGGATGCTGGATTTAGTCCATGGCTTGCTCTGGGGATGGCCCCTGACAGCACCACCTGTTGCTGCTCTGCTCAGGTACTGTGGCTTTATACCTGTTCAAGAGGACGTGGGGTCACCCCTCAGGGAGCAGCCCCATTCCTACACCTGCGTTGACCAAAAAAAAGCTCATTAAGAAAGGCCATAACCTAGTTTTGCACGTGTAACAGTACCTCTGTTCTAGTTGTTACTGCTCAGAGAAGAGATCTGGCAGTTAAAAAAAGAGCAGCTAACTGTTCAACAGCAGTCAGAAAAAGCAGCTGGACTATCAATAGTAGGAGGATCAGGGATAGGATGGAAACCATCACAACCCCAGCACCCAGCTGCAATATGGATGAAGAGCTGGAAAAGGGTGAAGAAGCACTTGCTGCACTGGCCTAGAGGAGGATTGAAAAGGGATGTAGAGGACTGTGGTCATGCTGGCAGCAGGGTCCGTGCTCACGTGGAGCTGTCAGGCAGCTTGTCTGGAGGGAATTTTGGGGGAAAACAGGTAAGAGACTGTTAAGGCATACTGTCAAGTGCTGTGCCCTAAAACTGTGTAACAACAGGGCTAGAAATGGGAATTTTATGATGTGGGGATTGTAAATAAGAAAATCCCTGAAGGCTGGAAACTTGCTTTAAGCTGCTTTCAGCTGTCGGCAGCTGCTGGTTTGGTTGAGGGAAAACCTGCTGGTGGTGACTTGTGTCCTGTGGGTGATGGTGGCTTGGGGACAGGGCTTGGCTCTCCAGCGTGGGTCTGAGTGCCTTGGTGAGAGGTTGGCATCCCGGGAAGCCGGGGCAGGCTGAAGCTCTGGGCCTGTTCAGAGCACAAGGACAGGCATCTCAGGAAGCATCCACTGGATGAGGCTTGGGAAGGAAAGGACTGGAGCAGAAGCGATGAGCCAGCCCAGAATGAGCCAGGTCTCACCTTCTGCCTGTGTAGACACTCTTGCAGCTTGGGGAGCAAAAGGCCTTGCAATTGGAAGGCCCAGGGAAGAGAAGCAGGAATGCAGTGTGTAGCTGTCCCACAAGCAAGAGAAAACCAAATCCTGCTACCTGCAGTGACTGCACACTTGTGCTGAGCAGGCAGAGCGCCCCGGCTGTGCCCATCAGCTCCATGTGTTCATTGTTCCCGGCCAAACTGGTGCCCCCAGCCAGGCAGAGGGTCCTGCTGACCCTTCCTCAGCCTGGCAGGACACGGCGAGGCCTCGGTCTCACCTGTGCCAGGTGTAGTTTGTGCTCGGCTCCAAGGGAGGGTGGCCAGGGCATGTGATGGGAGGCATGTGAGCTCCAGCAGCCCTGCTGGGAGCTATAAATGGCATGTGTGCTCACTGGAGGAGCATGGCTGGCGGGAGGAGGGGGAGGCGGTGGTGGCAGCGAGGGGGGTGTTGGGGTTTGCAGTTACTCCCTTGCTCTGTAGGAGGCTGGCCCTGGGCTGGGGGACAGCTGTGAGGGCTGGTGCCGAGCGTGCGTGTCCTCTGAGTGATGAGGCAGATATGGAAAGGGCTCCGCGAGCTGCAGAACCCTCCACGGGCTGCCCAGGAGACCAAACGGGTCTGTGGCCAGACCAGAGGTGGGGTCTTGCCATGGTTGCAGTTCCTGTTTGTAGGACAGGGTGTGGGAGACGCCCTACTCCATCTAAGAATTCCGTGTCTTCACAGCTTTGAGCTCTGGGCTGTGCCGTCCCTCTCGCACCTTTGCTGACCCGCACACAGCGTGCCTTGCAGTTGTCCTGTGTGGGCTGTCCTCTGCTCTGGAGCTCCTGGGTCACACCTGCACGGAGGATGTGACCTGTGCCAAGGGCTTGGAGCCATCTGATGGGCATCAGCAGGGTGGGAGAGCCCCTTCCCACCTGTGCTCTGTCCCACGTGGACGGCCGTGTACGGAACCACAGCGTCACCCCCGCGGGTTTGAAGGTGTCTGTGGCCCATCCTCTCAAATGGGAGATCTTTTTTCTGCTGGGCAGTGATCAGCTTCAGCAATGTGTGTTTCGGACACATCTGCTTCGGTCCTGTCCCTGCGCACCCACATGGCCCCCGCGCCCTCCCGGTGCCTCTGCAGCCACCGGAGACGAAGGGAGGCACGTTGTCCCCGCAGGCTGTGACAGCAGCCGGGCTGCGGAGCTGCCTGCAGCAACAGCTGTGCCATCGCGGCGAGCCGGGC